GGCAGATTTAAACTCATAAATACTCCAAGTACTATATTTTAAACAAGCGTGTAAGTCAGTGCCCGTGCTTTATATAAATACATAGAGGAAAACTGTGCATAGGGGTTTTCTCTGTCTTAAGAGAAGATGGGTTTAAGAACAGTTGCAATAGTGTGATGGTTTACTTTGAGGATATAGTGACAAAGAGCTTTAGGATACCTAAATGAGTTCCTTCTCTAAAATTCAGAATTTTAACAAGTGGTTGCTGTGTAATATCAGTGGAGTAGAAGCTTTGACCTTTCTTCACTCAGTTCTCCGTAGGACACAGCTGGCAAAGGTGCACGCTGAATCCTTTCTGCTGCAATATATTCTCTACAGAATATACGGCTTAATCTACAGAATATATGGCTTAATTATCATTTATTTGTGATACACTGAGATGAAAATAACTCTACAGTGTTATTTTGTGTAAAGTTATGGACCAACGATCTTGGAATTCAGAATGTAAGCAATGTATTGAAGGTCTTGGAATAACTAGGATACCACAACTGTATGCGCGTGTCGTGTTAGCGTAAGTTTGAGTAGGTCATACGTTTTTAGAAGGTAGTGCTGTTTTGTCCTACCCTTAAATTTAGGTAACAAAATCCATGAGATGACTGCAAAACGACAGCTCTAAACGCTTAAATTTTACAACTTGGACAAAGCACTCAATAATTCAGTAAATAACTAAGTAGTTGATTGGAAACCCTGAATCCTTGGTTTTCTGCGTTTAATATAGAAAAAACATCAGCATTTCAAAGAATACTTTTTGTTACATCTTAAAATTAATGGCTGAGCTTCTGCTTAAGCCAGTTCTGATCTCCTTAGTCCATCTGATCAGAGCTTGACAGAAATATGCCAGTGGTAAGTGAACTTCCTCTGAGCATGGACTGAAAAATACAAAACACTGTGGAAATGAAATTAAAAAAATCTTGCAACTTGTCAGTGTACACAAGGTTTGGTTTTTCTTTCAGGAAGGAAGATAATTCTTGCGCTTTTAATGTTTCTCAGTTAAACTGGCAATGTCTGTCTCAGAATGTAAGTTCAGGTGAAATCTGGTTTGTCAGAGGTTTGGGCTGCTTTAATGGTAAGCTGCTACCTAGAAAGTTAATGTTGGCTAATTAGCATTTTGCTTATCTGTAAGGAGAGAAATTATTTCTTAAAGCTAGATTGAATGCTTTTTTATGCCAGTTATCTTTAAGTAAGGGGTTTTTGTGTCCTTAGACTCCCAATTAAATAGTCTAGCATAGCTTCCGAGGGTAACTCTGTGGCATATTTCCTGATAGTTAGCACTTGAACTTGTCTAAATCGGGTAGATTTTAAAAAATTGATTACTTTCATGAGTAGGAAATTCTGCGAGTAGGAACTTCTCTGTATCCTTTTATTGGAGGTGTGGTTTCTTCTAAACAATGAATCCCCCATTCAGCCTTCTTCCTGGAGGGGTAGGTTTCTCTCAAGAAAGTGTTTCAGACAAGTAGTGCACGAATTCCTCTCAGTTCCGTGTTTCTTTTCCTTTTTCCTTTGCTTGCTTTGAGCCCCAGATACTGGGAAGTTAAAAATCGCAAGGGAATGCGGATTATTCCTGCATTGGAACTTGTCATACATCTGGCTTCCTGGTGTAAGAAAGGCAGAAACGCAGCAAAGCAGGTCCTAGGGGGAGGGTTATCGAGGTGGTTGGGTGGCTGCGTGGCGTGAGCTAGGAGAGGCCGTGGAATTAGGCTTGTCCTAAAGTCGCCTGCAGAGCTTTGAGTCTACAGTGAAACTCCCCTGTCTCTTATTCTAAAGCTGGCACGAGGCACGCGGGCATAGGTTTTATGAAACATAAGTGGTTAATCAAAGTAGTTGGCGAAGCGCTGGTGTGTTTCTCTTGCCCGAGTACTGAATTTGTTTTCAAAGGAGAGGAAAAAGCTAACAGTATTTCTGTGTTAGATGTGTCCGTGCTGATAGGTTACTTGTCTGTGTGATAGCTATCAGTACCCGCTTTAAAATACCTATTAAAATGCATTTATTGCCGTTTGTGCGCATAATTGGGACTCGCAAAGTTCTTTCTCCTTAGATCAAATGAAGCCCTCAAGTTGAGGAAACGTGTGCCTTCACAAACAGAATTTTACAGCTTTATATTTTTGGAAGTTGTGGCTGTATAATGGTACACAGCTAACGATTTCCCAAGTTTTACTCCTGCCCGCCACTTTGCCTAATGAGTAGCTTCGATTGAAGCGGATGGAGTAGATGGGGTGGAGGTTTAATCATGTCATAAATACATTCTGTCTCAATTTTTCAGCTGTCTGTAATTCTAGCTTGGCAGAGTTGAAATGGTTCAGCTTTAAGAAATCTGCATCTTACACTGGAAATTAGCTTGTAGCATTTCCTTTTCCTTAGGGATGTTTGTCATGCAGCACTGACTTAGGGACAGTTTGGGAGAGGCAGATGTAAGAACTAGCAGATTAAATAAGGAGAGGGGGATTACTGGGGCAGCAAAAATAAAGATCTTCCTTTTTTTTCTTCATTTTATGTGTGGGCAGAATACTCTGATGAATAGTCAAAGGTCTTTACTGGGGTTCTTTGAGGAGGATTGTATTCCAAGGAGAGAAAGGCCATGGTCAGTAGCTCACATCAAGCATTATATTGTATTTGGAGTCATTCTCGGTGTGGATGAAACAGTCTGTATTTGAGATACTGCAAGATAGTGGTGGAAAGCCTGAAGCGTAAGGGTAGGAGATGGTGAAGGAAGAAAAATATGGAAGAGGTATGGAAGAGGTATAGGGTTGAGCAGTCTCGGTATCAAGCATCTACACTTGCTCTTTTTTTAATAGATCATATGGTGGGATGCTTTGACAAACAGAGTATAAAATCTTAAAATTAATGCTGCCTCAACTTCAGCGTGCACCTGAATTGATACTACAGTCTCCTCAGATTGAGAAGAATTATATAGGGAGCAGAGGAGAGACCAGTTGTTTTAAATTAATGCTCATATTTCACTTGTAACTAATTAGTGCCTTTTTAAGTGGCTAATTAACTTAAATGTTTGACTCATGAGATCTGGTTTTCCATTGGGGAACAAGAACAACAAACCACCTAGTTCTGGCACTCATGGAAATACTTGTATGTAGATACACAAATATTTTTAGTTAACTTACACTCATCACAGAGAATTAGGTTTATGAGTGTAGGTGTTCAAAAATGAACCTTAAGGTTGTAGCTCTCGAAGTGTTTGTTTTTAGAAGATTCCAGTGAAGGAAGCTTCACTGACTACTTTAGTTTTACTGAAGACTAATTATTGGCACAGTTTGAATGTTGCTTCTGCATGGTTTCAGCAGAAATCTCTGCATCCTTACAGACTGCACTGTGAAGCTCTGGAATTACAGGCCTTCTTCGGAGACAGCAGGTTGAGCAACTAGAAAAATACAACGTTTTAGTTTTATGTTACTGCTTCTGTGACTCTCACTAGTTTAAAAACTGATACTTTGATGCTTTTAATTTGTGACTTCTGAGATTTGCCAAAAACATGGGAAATCCAACAAACATGGGGATTGGGAAGTCAAGTACATGTGGGTGGTGGACCTAAAAACTTACTGGAAGTCTCCCCTGCCTTGAAGGGCATTTCGTGCCTTATGTCTTAAACTTTTTGTTCTTCTCAGCTAGTACAAGCTTGTGGTGGAAAATAAGTATTTAACCTTGCCTAGGGAAATGGTAGCTTCCTTGGGGGGGAGAAAGGGAGTGAATAAATAAAAAGCAATTGTAACAGAATACTCTGATTCTTTAAAATGCAGCATGATTGCAAACTTGGAAGCTTTGAAACATAAATGAGGTACCTTACAAAAATAAAGAAGTTATCTGTCAGTTGCTTACCAATGACTGGTTTGCTGAATGGATTAAATAAAGTTCAGGTTTCAGATCAACATGATGCTGTGCAAGGAGCTTGCTGCTCGGATCTCTAGGGTTAGCTTTGACAGAGGTGCCTTTGTTCTTGGGTCTGCAGGGATCCCCCGGTTACAGTGGCTTTAGGTACAACTAAGAACTCTCTTCTGCTGAGCAGTTCCCAAACAAGGAACTGCTGAAGTTCAGCAAGCGCTGCTTTCAGTTAATTAATAGCAACGTGTGAGCTTTGTGACATTTTCTTCAGTGAATTTGTCGTTTGGAGTGATACTAGGCGGTCCTTGCTTTGCAGACATTGTTTTCTAACTTTGTAACCCTGTAACCAGAGGATAAGGTTAATTACGAAAAGAAAACCCCAACATTTCAACGTGGTTGTCTAAAGGGATTATGTGTAGTTGTGAATAGGGCATGACATACTTCACTTAATTTTGTTTCTCCTATGATAAACCCTTATTGCAACCCTATCCATTTTTAATTGCCAGTTTTGTCAATGAATACTAGGCAGTTTTCTCCATAGCAGTGTGTGTTCAATGAACCAAATGAATGCAGCTTCTGACTTTCTCCAGTGGGAAGATCTACATAATCCCAGGGTGTTTCTCTGTTTGTGTACTACACATCAAATAAGATATTTTTGTGTGTGTGAAATGTAAGCCTAGATAAAGTTGAATTTTTTCAGTTCTGCAAAAGTACTATTTGATTATTAGAACTGACTGGCAAAAAAAAAATGCTTGAAAGATGATACCTTGGTGCCTGGCAGTAGAAGACGTTGGGACTGATCATGACTTTTGGTCATTTTGGTCATGATTTACAAAAAGCATCAAGTGAATAGTAAGCAAAAGAAAGTAAGTGGTACTAAAAAAAAGTCTGATACGAGCGCTGTGCAGCCCCAAAAGAGCTCAGTTAACATGTGACTTGAAGTCACGTAGCTTCATCTTGTAAGGTGGGTAAATTTTGCGAAAACGTAGGCTTCCTATTAGAGACTGTGTTTCTACAACCAATTGTATTTATTTTCGGACTGCTACGGGATCCAGCTACTTTGAAAACTGTTTGGCAGAAGTGTTTGCCATCTGGATTAATTTGTTCTCTGTCTTGCCTTCTGTAGGTTGAGATAAAAATGAAGAAGCCAGAGGCCGTAAGATGGGAGAAGCTGGAGGGCCAGGGAGATTCTCCCAAGTTGAAGCAATTTACACCAGGTTTGTTCTCTGAAGTGTTAACTGGTTTATTTGTATAAGTTACTTGTAGCTATTAATAACTTTATTGTGTTAAGCATTGTTAATAAAATCACGGCTTCACATTCACAACGAAAAACCTAATTGTCTCTTTTACTGCTGAGAATTGACAGAAACAGTCTGCAGGGCATTACTAAAAATTTAGGGATTAAATTTAGTCATAACTTCTATTCATCTGATGGATTGTTAAGGATACATGGTTGTCATTAATTCCTCTGGGTTTGTCTGTTTGACTATTTTTGTCACTGTTCTGCAGTTTTAGGCATTGCTGTGTCTCTATTGTTGCTTAAATAATTAAGTATTTTTTACTCAAGTATTCCATCTCACTTGGAAAGTAATATTTTTGCAGTTTTTCAAGACAGGTTATCAATCTGTCTTTAAGACAATAAGAATTTCTTGGTTTATTGATTCCAGCTACTTTTTTGAAATTTAGTTCAGATTTTCCTATGGCTTTGGGCTGGTGGATTTTTTTTTTTTTTTTTTGGTGTTTGCTTTTCTTCTTTCTTACTGTCAGCCAACATCTCCTGCCTTGTTTTGACTTTAATTATTTGTGCTGCTGTTATCCAGCATGTTTTTTACCTGCTTTCTAGGGGTAACAGGTTTAAATTGAAAGTGGGGAGGTTTAGATTGGATATCAGGAAGAAATTCTTCACGGAGAAGATGGAACAGGTTGCCCAGAGAAGCTGTGGCTGCCCCATCCCTGGGAGTGTTCAAGGCCAGGCTGGATGAGGCTTTGAGCAACCTGGTCTAGTGGAAGGTGTCCCTGCCCATGGCAGGGGGGTTGGAACTAGATGGTCTTTAAGGTCCCTTCCAACACAAACCACTCTATGATTCTATGTTTTTGTTGGATAGCTGAATTATGTAACTGTTTGCTTTTAAGTAAACTTCTGCAGCTGCTGAATTGTAGTCTCCAGCATTTCTTAGCTTCCTTTGACTGCAGTGCTTCTACCGTAAGGAGGAATCTGTTTGCGTTTTCAGATTGATATTTATTATCATCTCTGATTCATCGGATACGTACGTGTTTGCGTTCTCTGCCGCCCTAAAGGTCATGAGAAAATGCTTAGTTGACTCTCACTTCTGTTTTCAGACTCCCAGCACTTGTATCCATCATCCTCTCACTACACAAGGAACTGGGACAAACTGGTAGTTGAAATCAAGGAGGAGGAGAAGAATGAGAAGTTAGAAGGAGATGCTGCTTTAAATAAACTCTTCCAGCAGATTTATTCAGATGGTACAGATGAAGTGAAACGTGCCATGAACAAATCGTTTGTAAGTCTCGACTCTGGTGGTTTTTTCCCTCTGAAGAAATGTGTACCTTTTGCACACTGACGCAATTTACCGAGCTTTGCGTGAAGCAGGAAGCCTCTAGCCACCAAAACACTGAGCCCGTAAGGAATGGCAGTGGGTCCGTTGGAGATAGGGGTGTAAGGAGTCTTGCTGAAAGCTATGATGTTGTACGCTACCGAACGTGACTCTTTGAGACAAGGTTGTGCTTTGTCACTGGTCTTTGTCTCGATCAGTGTTATCGAAGTAAATAGAGCTTTTGGCTCATGTAGAGCTTGAAGAGTTGCCATGAGTGAAAGGATCCAATTCCTTTTAGCTGTTTGTATCTGGTTCCTTTTATTTGTAGCCCTCATGTGCAAGAGCCTGACTGATTTGTTAACAGCTTCTTGTTACTTCGTTAACATCTCCCTGTGTCCAGTACTGATAACAGTATTGTTGGTCTGAAGGTTACGGAATGATGGCTTTGTCAGATTTTATTCTCTATGTGCGCAGAACTCTTGTGTAACTTCTTCAGGAAGCTAAATTTTTCACCTTTTTTCAGTACTCTTAATCTGCTGAAAGAAATGTGGAATTCCTCTAGCAAACTAAACAAGCTTTCTCTCCTATTGCAGATGGAGTCTGGAGGCACAGTTCTGAGCACCAACTGGTCTGATGTTGGTAAAAGGAAGGTCGAAGTAAATCCTCCTGATGACATGGAATGGAAAAAATTCTAATCCTGTTTTTAATCTTTTACCATCTATGTGTTGCCATAGTCATGTACTGACCACTGTGTATGGACATAGCGTTCTTGGATTCAGAGCACTGAATGTTCCCTTGGAAACAGGAGTTGTCTTTGCAAATTGCGTGCTTTACAAATTCCTTCATCTGCAGATGTTAAAGATGTACTCAAGAGTGGAACCCTATTTTTGTCATGACTGTCTGATTTCTGGAAATTGAGTCCATCAGTCTGAATTTTCTACCGCCTTTATCGACTCTGCTCTTTGGGGATAGGGTGATCTCTAGTGGGCTGGTCAGGGTTATTGCCTTACGCCCGATTTATTCCTGTTCCATAACTGATTATTGGCAACTTTGGGTAAAAACACTTTTCAACAACAGTGTTAAAATTGTTTGCTCTTTAACTCTCCTAAATAAAACTGTAAATAGAACTTTTTCTATACGGAACATGCTTAATTTCATTTTTAGTGAACTTGTTTTTTTGATGGAGTGGAGTCACAGCATATGGGTATGGATGTGGATACACTGCTTAAAAAAAAAAAAAGCCAAAAAGCTGGTGTGTACAGGAGCAAAATGTGCATTCAGTGAAGAGGATGAGATTCTTGATGCAGACAGAAGTTCCGCTTGCAGAGTCCTTCCATGTGGGTGATAGAAGAAAGTCAGTTGTGGCTGGAAATGCCTGTGGAAAAGTGGGTCTTCAGTCTGCCTGCTGTATTCAAAAAGAAGGATCTGTTGCAATTGCCTGAGATCAAAGATAGCAAGCCTTGCTGTAAGTTCTGTTATTTCAGAATATTGGAAACTGGTTACGTTTTAGAGAAGAGCCCATGCGTCCCTAATTTTTTCCACCAGTTCACCTTTTACATCATGGTCAGATTTTAAACGACCGTGTTTACAGAAAAAGAACTGAGAAATGTAAGAAATACTCACTGCGCTTGTATCTCTTGGATACAAGTCTGCAAGGGGCTATAGATAACCAGAAGCTGTCTGGACCGTGGTCCTGGGCACCTGGCTCTGGGTGGCCCTGCGGCAGCAGGGGCTGGGACAGGAAGGCTTCCAGAGGTCCCTTCCAACCTCAGTTGTTCTGTGAAGGGGATATGAACTTAGAGTTGTGGTAAGTGGGCCTAGTCCACCTGCTGCTGTCTCTTGGGAATTTAGATACACCAGAATATTCCAAGATTCTGGAAAATTCCAGAATTCCTTGCAAACTATTGGATGCTGTTTTAAGTTTGTTTTTCCTTGCATCCCTAATTATGTAGGTGGTTTTTCATTGCTTACTTTATATTTAATATTTTATTTTACTGCAGTGAGAAGTGGATGAGCGTGTTAAAATACCAAGGCTATTAGAAGAGATGCTTTAACAGGACAAGTGAAGTCTGCAGATGTTACAGTAATAAATGTATGTAAAAGATGACCGAAATGGAGGAGGAGGAGGAAGAAAAGGTGTATTCTGTTCCTCTGGAGAACCAGGACTCTAGCTTTTGCAGTGTTGCTGTGGAAGTGCAGCGCTAGGGTGGTTTTTTCCCTAGTACTGTTACCACGCCTGTGCAGTAGGTACTGAGATTTTAAAATCTCACAAGTCTTTTTTTAAAAAGAGCTTGGTTTTGGATGTATGCCATAGCTGGGAACTTCAGATTGCCATACTTGGCAGCTGTAGGTGATGACTGCAGTCTTGGCATAACTGCAGTTTCTTGATGCACTCAGATGGTGATTATCCTAGAGTGCAAGCAGGGCAGTGATTTCTTCTTTTAGCTTCAGCACTGATTGGTGTTTTCCAAAGCTGGGATTTGATGGCCTGTAGAACTGAATGCTCTCCTGGTTTTTTGAGTACGATGAAAGGTGGTGAATTGAATTCAGGAAGGTTTTCTGTGTGTGCCTTGCCTCTTGACTCTTACTGAGCGATGTTTGCTTCTTGGAAGAGTTTCTCAGGGAGTGTACTTGTGGCATATTTCACTGAAGATTTCTTAGCTTCAGTGAGGAATTTCTTGCCCTTCAGGAATTCCGAGTAGCTAGTCGCTCAATATCTAGGGCGTTTGCCATCCATTATGGGATGCTAACATTGAAGTTGACTTAATTTGGAACAGGGACTTGAACTCGATTCTCCTCGATAAGTGCTGTGCTGCTTTTTATTTATGCTTTGAAAGGCACTTCCTCCATCCTAATGTAGAAGGAAGACAAATGTCTGAGGGCTTCACTTTGTCACAGCATCGGGTTCTTGTCTCCTGGCCAGCCTCGCTTTATACATGTCATTCAGAGCACTTAACAGCGCTTAGCAAAGGCTTGCTGTGGGAAAAGCCTAGAGAAAAATCTCTTAAATAGAAATGAAAAAGTAATTTGAGGATGTTTTCTGCCAATCAAGCGGTTCCTACGTACTGAGGAGAACACGGTAGGGGTTCCTCTGTCTATTTTCACTTACAGAAAGTCCATGGGAATATTTCGTCAGATAAGCTCAATATAGTCTTGGATTAAGTGGGTACTGTTTCAGTGCTCTGGGATTCGATTCACTTAGCTTAAGGCAAAAAGTAAAATAAAGTGTACTGCTGCTTACGTACTCTTGAGGCATATGTAATGCAAATATAATGCTTTAGCTTCGGGCTAAAACTTGTAGCAATCAAGTGCTAGGACCTCCCTGTCCATCTCAATCCTGTGAGCAAAGCTTGCGGGTCTGAACATAATTCCAGCATGTTTGTGAGCACAGATGGATAATCTCTGTGTGCATATTCCTCCCTAAAATTCAGGGAAAACATTGATGGCAGCTCTTATTACCCTACTGGGGTATTGGTTTTTTTTGAGGGGGGAGGGGGAAAGGATTGCCTTAAACCGATAGGTAAAACTTCGTTGTGAAGTTGGGGGAAAGGCGCTTTGTGAACTCTGTGAACTGTATTTTTTCTTCTTGACAAAACATGCAGACAAAATGGTTCCAGAAGCCCCAGGTCAAGGGGAAGATAGCAGGGAACTTGGAGGCCAGATAGAGGCTGTGAAGGCTGTCGGTGACCAAGGGAATTTCCTTCAGGACCAGAGAGGACAAACATAATTTGCTGCAGCACCAGCAGTGAGTTGGCAGGAGACAGAACTGCTCGCAAGGGCAGAGTGGGTGATGTTTTAATTGTGTTCGAACTTCTCCTGAGGTTTTTTTTCCCGCATTTTTTTTCCCAAGCCTTTTGGCCATCTGTGGAAGACCGAGGCAGTTTCACCTCAGTGCTCCGAGTTGCAGTCCCGTTGCAAATACGGGGAAGAGGACAGCAAGAGGTAACAGTAGCTTTCCCATTTAATTCCACAGATGGGATCACTCTCTGCTGCTGTTCCGGGGGTCACAGAAAGTGCCTGTCTGTAGTAGCTTGCGGCTGCCTCCCTGGTGTACATGCAGTGCTTGTGAAAGGTCACTTGAGCCTCTCAGAAGCAGATGGTGGTGCGACTGGTTTGGCCTAACTCTTGCCCTTTCTCAGCAGAGATTCTGTCTGCCCCAATGTGCCAACCAACCACATGTTCTTTGCCAACTGTAGTTTTATGCCTCTTTATGGTTTTTATATATATATTTTAACTGGAACAAGTGATTAGTCTGTTTTTCAATGAAACTTTCTTGGAATTTATTCATGCTGCAGCAGGGCTGAAGTATTATATAGGAGGCCCAAGACAGATCCCCTCCATTCCATGTCCCTAGCTTCCTAACTTTCTCAGCGTAGGCAGAAGTGGAGGATGATTCCCGTATCCAGAAGGATAAAGGGAGAGATTCGGGTTCATTCCTTGTAAGTGGGGAGAAAAGGGGCTGTAGATACAGAGAAGAGATGACTCCTGCCTTCCCATCACTGCCTTTCAGTCTTTTTAACCCTGTGGCTTTGTTGCCTGTTTTCCTTCTCTTTTCCACCAGCATGAATTTATCCCCTTTTTATGCTCTGATCTGCTCTGGCATCCTAATCCTCCTGGTACACAATCTCATGGGTAGTTCAAGTTTTAAGGAATTACAGTGCTGGGACGAACAGCCACCCACCAGCGGTGGGAAGTGCTGTTGGTGACAAGCTCATCCCGCTTTCTTGCCTCCTCCTCCCCTACGCTTTAGCCAAAGGAAGGTTTTGAACTGGTTTCTGCTAATGCAGGGTCAGATTTGAAGAACATGCCCCCAGATGCAGTGTGCAGGGTATTACAGTGGTGGTGGTGTTGGGAAACTTGAGCACCGATGGCAAACGCCGCACAGTAGTGAACGGGATGGCTGCGGATGGTTGGAGCTGTAGCCTGAGCCACCCCGCGGGGAATATCGCCGTGTTTTTGCATTGGGTTTACTGTCGTTCCCGTGTCGCCTCAGAACGTTCTCTTCAAAACAACCTGTTGTGCTTAGATGAGGCTTTCCCACCTTGCCACAGCAAGAGGTTCTACTTTTTTATTCCTGTGAATACGACACACAGGTAAACAGGAATTTGCTGACTCGAAGCGTGCGCTGGGGAAGGCGTTTTGTTGCGTAGCTCTTAGGAATGGATAAATTGTGCCCTCCCTGGTGTACTCTAGGGCAGCGTTGTAGCTCCTGCAGTCTTACCGTTTGCAGACTGCGTAAGCAGCGTATCTGCTTCTCTTACGACCACTGGGGCTCTCTTGGCATGGGGGGGGCAGGGGAGTTCGCGCAGTGCGTACGCGGCGCGTGACGGTTTAACGGCATCCGTGAGTAGGATGCTCTATTTCCTATTTGTGACTGCCTATGGAAAGCGACCGATACAAGGTTTTTTTTAGGAGGAGTTCATTTTGTTAGGAACGTGTAGACATGGAAATCACCTACAGGGTTGGTTTTTTGTGTCTTCTGAAGAAAAACTTTTTTTTTTTATAGTGGGGTGGACAGGGAGAAGCAGGTCACGGGCTGCCTCAGGGATGGCCTTAGATGTAAAAGACAGCAGGAGTCTAGTTGGTGTGTACAGTCACACTTCTTTCCCTTTGCCTTCAGTGTTTCGCTTGCTGCTCCTCGTGTTTTCGGCTCCAGACAGTTCTTCAACATGTACTTAAAGATACCGTTACACTTTGTACATTGAAAAAAGGCACAAAAAGCGATTGCTTTTTTTTTTAAAGTATTTGTTTAATCTGCAGTAAAAAAAAAATAAAAAATTACTTCTAAGCATACGAGTGACGTACTTCTAAAACAACATAACGATCAAGGTCACTTTCAGTTTAAAAAGCAGAAACTCAAATTTAACAGGCCTTGAAATCCCACTTTAAGAAGTTTTTAAATATTTCAAAGCAAGTCTGTTCTTCAGATTAAGCGAAGGTGAAGCTTACATCAAAAAAAAAGCTACAATAGAACAAAATACTGAATTCTATTCTCATTCTCATTTAACACTTTGCTTTTTAGATATGCAGTTTAGCATTCTACATGAGGTTGTCTTTATTTTCTTTAAGCCACGATTATGTCAAATTAATTCCTCTTTTCTGTGTGTCACGCAGTGTTAATAACATCACTA